GGGCTAGTGCTATATTTTATAGAATACTCGGCACTCGGTGGATGATGTGGTTAACATAACTCGCTCGCCTTTACTTCCCAGGACTGTACCTGGCACCCATTCAAGGCTGGGTCAAGCTGAGAGCCAAGGTCATTTTTGAAAGAAGAAAAATCTCAGCTGAACCCACGATCTTCCTATGTGCAGGCGAGCCTCTATCCGCTACACCACATTGGCTTCCTAGGACACGAGAATGAAGATGTAGACCATATGTCCAGCATTTCTCAGAGATGGTTGTCGTTTGGCACCCGTTGCTTTGCTTAACAAATAACGTTCAACCAGCATCCCTGAAGAAACAGCTTTAGGTTATAACTGTGACCAGGTTATGTTGTGCCAGATAAAATGGTTTAGCACTGCACGGCACCAAGAGTCTCAAAGAGTGTTGATGCGATAAAATGAGGCAGGCTCAAATACTGTCCCGACAGGCGACGAAGTCATCTACTGGCGAGCCAATGGGCAACCTGGTCACCGAGAGTATGGCGTCCCTCTGTCGGCCCTCTTATGAACCTGCCTGAACTTCTGAAAGATGTTTCTCGTATTGAAAATATGCCACACGGTGTTTCTGGCTTAGCTTGAACTGTCCTGCACGTCAGATGCATGTAGGCTGCTGCATGTGTGGCATGTGGAACCAGTGTCCGTGGCACGCTGAGTGGGTCTGCAACACAACTTTGACAGAATATCACTAAAAGACTGACAATCTTGCTGTTGTTCTTACACATACGATACCCACTACAACCCCGGCCCCCTCCGCCCACCTCCCGTAGACGTTCTGTTGCATACTCTGAAAGATGCGAATATGTCACGACCCGAAAAGCCCACACTTGTAGCTTTCTGCTAAATGTCAAGCTGCTAAAGCCGACGGCACGTCTTGTACAAGGAACACGAAGCCAGGCATCTGGCCAGGTCAGGGCAGAGACGGTTCACCTGTCACTGTACCATTTCTTGTTTAACTGGCACATTGCAAGCGGTTATGGAAGTGTTGTGTGGGGTAGAGTTAGGGCATCTTTGCTTCGTTAATGTAAGTTCGAAAAGAGTTTGATTTTTACGTCTTTTTTACATTTCTTTTTCCTGCTTCTAATTTTCTTAATTCCCTCCCCACCCCTTCCCAACCCCCACTCCCACTTTTGTTGAAATCATCGTCATTATCGATTGCTAATACCACTATTATCATTAACGTGTAGCAGGTCCTTTTCAGAACGTCGCTCTCATCACAGTCTGCCTGAAAGAAACTCGGTCTCTCGCCAGTTCTCCTGCCTCATGCACTTTCATACTCAAGGAGTCACTTATATCCTGCTTCCATCTTCGTGTCGGTCGGCCCCTATCCCTCCTTCCTGGATACTCTGCCTTCTGCTATAATATTTTTCCAATCCGTCGTGGCGCTTGATATGACCAAAATATTTCAGCTTACGAGACAGGATGCTGTTTATTAGCCAATGTTCCTTGATGTTAAGATCCTTCAGATGTCAGTATTTCTCCTCTTCTGTGTCCAAGATATTCCGAGAATCTTTCTATTGCATTTCAGATCAAAAGACCCAATTCTCTTTCTTAAGGACTGGGAGATAGTTTCTGATTCACATCCATTTGTTGCTAAAGGGAAGATGCATGCTCTAAAAATTCTAATTTTGATCAATTTGCTGGTGCTTAACCAAAGACTTTTAAGGCTGTTTATTCTTTGCATTGCTATTCTCCTTTTAATTTATATCAAAGTCTTTGTTGCTATATATTATAGAACCTAGATATTCAAAGTTTTTTTTTTGTTTTTTTTGTTCTCCTCCTGCTTTGTAATGCTGGGATGCCGGGTTCGATCCCAGCTGCGGACCATGCGCCTTGTGTTGGTTTCGACAGTGGTATCAAGAAAGCCTACCGTCTAGTAAGCAATGGCAAACTACTGGACGTAAATTTGACTAGAAAAACCACACAACAGCCGGGTGCTGTTGGGGTTGGTTCTGTGATGTACTGTAAAGGATATGCAACTAACCTAACCTGCTTGAATTAGTTCTGCTGGTATTTCGTCGCAACCTGGTGACTTTCCTTTCTTCAGGCTGTATATTGTCGATCGTACCTCGTCCAGTAAAGGCTCTTGTTTCTTTTTGTAGTAAAAAATGTTATTCGGTAAACCTTGCGAAGATCCTATGTCATTTAGCCCCGCCTATATAGACACTAGGTCACTTTTGATTGGTGCTTGCTCCGGTTCGTCAACGCTGATAAAGGCTACAATAGGAATATACAACACTGTTGATATCACGTGGGGTATATTCGAGCAGGTCAACGCTTTAAAGGCTCCAAAATATGCAGGACTGGCCTACACAAACACCCCTATGAGAATGGTGCAACCTAACACAAACACCCCTATGAGAATGGTGCAACCTAACACAAACACCCCTATGAGAATGCTGTAACCTAACACAAACACCCCTATGAGAATGGTGCAACCTAACACAAACACCCCTATGAGAATGCTGTAACCTAACACAAACACCCTATGAGAATGGTGTAACCTAACACAAACACCCCTATGAGAATGGTGCAACCTAGGTCACACGCATTCTCTTTCTCGGATTTAAAACGTAAATGGAAGACAACGCAGAAAGCTCTTCTAGCAAACAGTACACCGGGATACCCACGTAACCTTCAGCAAAGTTGATGCGCCTAAAGAACTATGAATGAAAGGTGACATAGTGAGTAAATGGGCGGAGCTAACTGACCTGGGAAGATTCCCTTAATGTTTACACTTTGTTATTATTAATATTATTATTATTATTATTCTACTCCCAACTAGATCAAAAGTAGTTCAAGTGGCCTTCTTTAACCAGGTGTAGAAATTGTCTTTAGAAGTATTAGTGTAAACTGTTCATAGTACTGCAGATATATTATTATATGTCTGTGTCATTCAGCACATATTTGTTGTTATTGTTATTACGCTCATAAACTAGATTATAGCCATTAAGCCTTCTTTCTGTGTTTTTTTTTAACCTAGCAAATGTGAAAGGTCCCATGTTCTTACTGCATCGGTGTGTCTCGCATACACTTAGCACGCCTTGGTAAGTTAAAGAGAGTCTATGCGTTGCCTTTTACATTACGGTTATAAAGAACCGTTCCGGCTAAGGAGAACCACGCAGCCAGAACGAGGCTGAAAACAAACAGATCACCCTACCCCACCCCCTCCCCACCCCACCTTTTAATGTGAAGGCCGTAGACACCTAAACATGGGTAAGAAGGTCCTAACTGGGTCCCATAGTCAGTCTTGAGGGTCGCGCTTGTGTGACAGATATCTTTTCTTGGACTGGTAGGAACAGTTTCTTACAGTAAAACCAGATCTGGATATGGCACAGAACATTTGGACTGGCTGCTGTTGGCAGATGTTGATACTTTATCTTGGACACACTGGCCCAGTGAGCGTCACAACGGTTGATACGCAAGCAGCCATGGCCGATTTATCTGTTTATTTATTCATTGTAAATGTTGTCGTTTGTTTCTTGACGGATTCCATGTTTGCCAAATGGTCTAGAATTAGTTTCCCGCTCAAACGTAGCATCCTTTACCGGCACATTTACCGGCACCTTTACCGGTACCTTTACCGGCACCTTTACCAGTACCTTTACCAGTACTTTTACCGGTACCTTTACCGGCACCTTTACCAGTACCTTTACCAGTACCTTTACCGGTACCTTTACCAGTACCTTTACCAGTACCTTTACCAGTACCTTTACCAGTACCTTTACTAGAACCTTTACCAGTACCTTTACCAGAACCTTTACCAGTACCTTTACCGGAACCTTTACCGGAACCTTTACCAGTACCTTTACCAGTACCTTTACCGGTACCTTTACCGGTACCTTTACCGGAACCTTTACCAGAACCTTTACCAGTACCTTTACCGGTACCTTTACCAGTACCTTTACCAGAACCTTTACCAGTACCTTTACCAGAACCTTTACCAGTACCTTTACCAGTACTTTTACCAGTACCTTTACCAGTACCTTTACCAGTACCTTTACCAGAACCTTTACCAGTACCTTTACCGGTACCTTTACCAGTACCTTTACCAGTACCTTTACCAGAACCTTTACCAGAACCTTTACAGGTACCTTTACCAGAACCTTTACCAGTACCTTTACAGGAACCTTTACCAGTACCTTTACCAGTACCTTTACCGGAACCTTTACCAGTACCTTTACCAGAACCTTTACCAGTACCTTTACCGGTACCTTTACCAGTACCTTTACCAGTATCTTTACCAGAACCTTTACCGGTACCTTTACTAGTACCTTTACCGGTACCTTTACCAGTACTTTACCGGTACCTTTACCAGTACCTTTACCAGTACCTTTACCAACACCTTTACCGGTACCTTTACCAGTACCTTTACCGGTACCTTTACCAGTACCTCTACCAACACCTTTACCAACACCTTTACCGATACCTTTACCAGTACCTTTACCAGTACCTTTACCAGAACCTTTACCAGTACCTTTACCAGTATCTTTACCAGTACCTTTACCAGTACCTTTACCAGTACCTTTACTAGAACCTTTACCAGTACCTTTACCAGAACCTTTACCAGTACCTTTACCGGAACCTTTACCGGAACCTTTACCAGTACCTTTACCAGTACCTTTACCGGTACCTTTACCGGTACCTTTACCGGAACCTTTACCAGAACCTTTACCAGTACCTTTACCGGTACCTTTACCAGTACCTTTACCAGAACCTTTACCAGAACCTTTACCAGTACCTTTACCAGTACCTTTACCAGTACCTTTACCGGTACCTTTACCGGTACCTTTACCAGAACCTTTACCAGTACCTTTACCGGTACCTTTACCAGTACCTTTACCAGTACCTTTACCAGTACCTTTACCGGTACCTTTACCGGTACCTTTACCAGAACCTTTACCAGTACCTTTACAGGAACCTTTACCAGTACCTTTACCAGTACCTTTACCGGAACCTTTACCAGTACCTTAACCGGAACCTTTACCAGAACCTTTACCAGAACCTTTACCAGTACCTTTACCAGTACCTTTACCGGTACCTTTACCAGAACCTTTACCGGAACCTTTACCAGTACCTTTACCGGAACCTTTACCAGTACCTTTACCGGTACTTTTACCAGAACCTTTACCGGAACCTTTACCAGTACCTTTACCAGAACCTTTACCGGTACCTTTACCAGTACCTTTACCAGTACCTTTACCGGTACCTTTACCAGAACCTTTACCAGAACCTTTACCGGAACCTTTACCAGTACCTTTACCAGAACTTTACCAGTACCTTTACCAGTACCTTTAACAGTACCTTTACCGGTACCTTTACCAAAACCTTTACCAGTACCTTTACCTGTACCTTTACCAGTACCTTTACCGGAACCTTTACCAGTACCTTTACCGGTACCTTTACCAGTACCTTTACCAGTACCTTTACCGGTACCTTTACCAAAACCTTTACCAGTACCTTTACCGGTACCTTTACCAGTACCTTTACCGAAACCTTTACCAGTACCTTTACCGGTACCTTTACCAAAACCTTTACCAGTACCTTTACCGGTACCTTTACCAGTACCTTTACCGGTACCTTTACCATTACCTTTACCGGAACCTTTACCAGTACCTTTACCAGAACCTTTACCAGTACCTTTACCGGAACCTTTACCAGTACCTTTACCAGAACCTTTACCAGTACCTTTACCAGTACCTTTACCAGTACCTTTACCGGTACCTTTACCAGAACCTTTACCAGTACCTTTACCGGAACCTTTACCGGAACCTTTACCAGTACCTTTACCAGTACCTTTACCAGTACCTTTACCGGAACCTTTACCAGTACCTTTACCAGAACCTTTACCAGTACCTTTACCGGAACCTTTACCAGTACCTTTACCAGAACCTTTACCAGTACCTTTACCGGAACCTTTACCAGTACCTTTCTCCAGAAGTGCATTCCATTAGAAAGGCGGTGCTGGTTTATAAAAGGCCACAGGTAGGGAAGGAACCAGCCACAGCCTATGGAGGAACATGATACCAGTCTTAGGCACTCGGTAACCTGGCATGACAAATACAGTTCAAACAGTTTGTCTGACCGGTTGCCTTTCACAGTCCGACCTGCAGTTCTCTCCCACATGACCACTCTTAGAGCTTTCCACCTGCACGTCATTAGTTGTGCTAGAATTTATTATCTCTGCCATTATCATATTTGTCAATCGAAAATATGATCCCCATCATTAGAATATTTTTCAGTATGAAATATGATCGTCATCATGATAATTATTTCTAAACCAGTATCCTCATTACGATGAGTGCGACCATGACGCCCCCCCCCCCCCCTCTCTCCCTCCCTCCCCTCCATTTTTCCGGTGTGACACACTTCATCGAGCAGGATACATTTGAATGGAAAGTGCCGCAAGCTATCATAATTTCACATTTGCATGCTAGCGAAAGAACATAAGATTCTCCAAGCTATACTCGAGGAATAATTGCTGTTTGTGACATCATCCAAACCCGCTTTCTCAAATCTCTACTATAGTGCCATCAAGCTCTCTTAACGCCAGCTCTGTTTAACAAGACATGTTTTGACCAGTTAAGACTATCCAATTTGCGTCCTGGCTATGAGCAGCGAAAACAGTAATGGGTTTAACTTGCAGGATTATACAGCAATCGATCAGAGACGCGTCCGCAGAATTCATTGTACGTGCCTGAACCCCGTGAACACGCTGCCAACTGTGAACACAACAGTTTTAGTGCCGTTGTATCTTCTTCTTATTATTATTCTTCTTATTCTTCTTCCTCTTCTTCTTCTTCTTCTTCTCCTTCTTCTTCTTCTTATTCTTCTTCTTCTTCTTCCTCTTCTTCTTCTTCTTCTTCTTCTTCTTCTTCTTCTTCTTCTTCTTCTTCTTCTTCTTCTTCTTCTTCTTCTTTTTCTTCTTCTTCTTCTTCTTTCTTACTTTTCTTCTTCTTATTCTTCTTCTTCTTCTTCTTCTTCTTTCTTATTCTTTCTTCTTCTTCTTCTTCTTCTTCTTCTTCCTCCGCCTCTTCTTCTTATTCTTCTTCTTCTTCTTCTTTTTTCTTCTTCTTCTTCTCTTCTTCTTCTTCTTCTTCTTCTTCTTTCTTTTCTTCCTCCTCTTCTTTTCTTCTTATTCTTCTTCTTCTTCTTCCTCTTCTTCTTCTTCTTGTTATCTTGTTCTTGTTCGTGTTCTTGTTCTTGTTCTTGTTCTTCTTCTTCTTCTTCTTCTTCTTCTTCTTCTTCTTCTTCTTCTTCTTCTTCTTCTTCTTCTTCTTTCTTCTTCTTCTTCTTCTTCTTCTTCTTCTTCTTCTTCTTCTTCTTCTTCTTCTTCTTCTTCTTCTTCTTCTTCTTCTTCTTCTTCTTCTCCTCTTCCTCCTTCTCCCCCCCCTCCTCCTAAACAACCAGAAGAAAGAATCAAAGCCACAATGATTAAAGTCGTGAACACTCCACTGTCAGTTATGTCAAGCCAAGTTATACTCCCCCCAATTTTCTTTCATTTCCTAAACATAGAAAGTGACGCAAAGTTCCCACAGTATAATCAGCGTTTTCTATTTTAAGTCAGCTTTTACGTTTTTGATTCAATTATGCACACTGTCACTGCTAACTCGGGCTGATGTCCTCAGGGTCGGGTGTATGTCCAACTTAAAAAAAAAAAAAAATCAGATCAGCCATTACTTCTTTGTGTTTATTCTTCTCACGATTATCCAATCAGATCACACTTCCGTTTGGAGTCACGTCCGTTTCTCGCTGGCCGCCATTGAAAACGCCAGTACTATTTACCTAGTTATCTTCTCCATCCCCTATTGCTGTCAGACATTATTAACCTTTCTCGTGTCTTGGAACATTAAACTTTGAAGCAGTAATCTTCTTCTAGTTATCTATTGAACTTCTTGTCTCAGACGATTATAGCTTGAAGGCAGGGGCAGCAACTGCATCAACCGGGGCAGTTGCAGTAGTAGGTTGATGGTGTGGTCTCATGTCGCCTTTACTCCAGATGAATTCTTCTGGTACCTATTCAATGCTGGGTCGACCTGCTGCCAATGTCATTTAAAAAAAAAAAGCTTGGCTCCTTTCGGACTCGAACCCGCCATATTCGTATCCACAGACTAGCGACTAGCAGCTACATCACGGCGGCTCGCTAACTAGCTATAAGAAATACGTCAAAAGTGTGTTAACTGGCCACCGACGGGCCAGAGATATAGGACTAGTCGAGGTTTCACCTTCATTGCAAGTGGGTCACCCCAACATTTTTCCACTACTCAGCCAGTAAAAAATTTAATGAAATTTCACACAATGTCCCATCTGAAAAACTGGAGAACAAACAATTGGTCCCGGCACAATCCAGAAATATGCGAAAGCACTAAATGCATATGGCAGTTGCTAGAGGCGCCAAAGCCAACAGTTGCCACCAGAAATGAAATGCAATTTGTCGTTGATGGAAGTAGTCGGTCACGACAAGTTGGCTATACACACGTAGAATTATTACATAAGGTATATCACCAGCACACATGTAAACTGACTACCGGCCAAATTCAATGCTACGACCCAACCACTGCACAGATAAAAGGCATTCAACAAACACATCTTAAAGTGCTGCACCACTCAGTATGTTAGGCCGTGAAATCGAAGACTCCCGTCTGTAAGTGTAAACTGCAGTGCAAAGCGGTGTCAGAAGCAGCAGCAGCAACAACAACATCAACAACAACAACAGCAGCAACATCAACAACAAAAACGTCGAAGCTAAACATTCCGCTATGCCTAGTCCTTCTTACTGGACCGGAAGTCAATCGAACCTGAAAAAAGGTTAGAGACTATGGATTTAGACACTGACTAATTAAGTTAACCCTTACACAAACCGGCGGAATTTAAGGGGAGGCCACCATTGTATTTGTCCCTAGCAAATCTTGCCTTTACGCAAACAGTACAGAGGAACACAGGGCGAGAAATAGTAGTAGTAGTAGATTTTACCCCATTAGGACATCACACAAGTGATAAACACCCGACGACACAAAGTGCCACTATGGAGACGATGATTACCTGTGGAGAGGTCCCGGAAACCACGTTCAACCATTAGACCATAATTATGGCTGGGCTCTATTGCAGCCCCAGGCAAGAGCCAGGGTGGGGCTTCAAAATTACGAAAACTTGCATCCCACGAGGTAATGATTGGTTATTCTGTCTTGGGCGAGAAGAATTGTTGACAGCCCCATGTCAAGGCATAGAGGGGTGTCAGCACATGGAGGGGCCCATTCTGGTGGAGACCACAGGTGGGATGGTTGGTAATCTGGTAATCTTAGTTTCAGCTTCATAGCAATCAGGTCACCCCATCTTTGCTCCGCTTCTGTGCCAAAGAAAAGGCCACAGAATGTTTATCACAGTCCCTTGTGGAAAGATTGACAGACTGCTGTCTCAGCATATTTAGCATATACACGCATTAAAAGCATATGGTAGCCATCCGAAGTGCTAACACAAACAGTCAGACATTAAAAATGCAGTTCATCATGAATAGTAGCAGAAGTCACCAACAGATAAGCAATTGCACACGAGATCAATTTTATTCATATAATGTCACCACAAATATTGCGACAACAGGCATCGCGCCATTTTCTGAATCTACAATTCATACCCCCACGTTGGTCACAGTGGAAACACATCCCCCCCCCCCCCCCCCCCCAAAAAAAAAAAAAAAAAAAATCCGCAGCTCACAATGTCACGCCATGCACTAAACTCAAAAGCTGGGCAACGAAACTATATCCTTTCAGTCTACAAAGGGAACAAAAATGCAACAGCCACCGTCTGGCAGAAGCAAAACATTTGCCACGGTTCAAAACAGTGACCGTACTTAAAATCCATTTTGACCGGAAGGGGTGGTTGGAAAAAAAAAAAGGGGGGGGGGGGAGAGGGTCAAAGGACACTTGTCGCGGGAAAAACAGAAATATTAAAAATAATAGAACAGTCACCAGAAATAGAAACTCTACCAAGAAAAAACAAAATTAACACGAAGGGAAACAACACTCGACGAATATCCGTTAATCCATTATAAATTAAATTTTTTTTTTTTTTTAAATAGGGAAGAAGATAAAAAGATGCAGAAGAGGGAAAATATAATTCCATCTAATGGACATATAACAACTGTCATTTTAAAACCGGTTTGAACAGGACAGTGTCTTCCGATAAAAGGCCACGGATTTTGAGGAAATGAATGAATAAGATTTAAGCCGACCAGGACATCCACCAAGCCATAAACACCTTGTGACATTACA